ACCTGAGTATCAGGCCGTACTTTTAGGGCACAGGCACGCCTGATCGTGGGCGAAGGGGAGAAAAGTACGGCCTGACACAAAAGTGGCATTTTGCCTGGTTGTTCAGTCCAGAATCTGGACTGAGCGCTGATTGGCCGATTAGACAAACGATTTTTAAATCTGTCATTGGATTGGCTGGTGCTAATTAGATTATACTATTGTTGTTGATATATTTTATAACGATCACAACTACAATTATAGCCGGCCCACTAAACGGCTGAATTTAAATTAAAACTGCAGTAAAATTAGAAAATAATCGCAAATTAGCAAAATATATTGCAAATGTAGCTTATATTAACTCGCCATCAGATTGCACTATCGACTGACGTATAGTTATAAAGTATACTTAATATATATACTTTGTAATTATACGTCACTGTTTGTTGATAAATACGGCAAGCGCCATGTAAAGCTCATTGTAGTCACTGAAACCTCTGCGGAGGAGAGAGCAATCGGGTGGCGATTTAATATAAGCTACATTTGCAATATATTTCGCTAATTTGTGATTATTTTTGTTAATTTTATAAGTTAATTGCAGTTTTAATTTAAATTCAGCCGTTTAGTGGGCGCCTATGCTATAATTAGATTGTTGTTGTCGTTGTGTGAAATTTAAATTTCTCCTGCGACATTTTGATTGGATACTAAATATAAACTTTGCTGTGGGCGGAAAGCGATCAGGTTAAGTTTTGTGTCAGGCTCTATTTGTAAAATAAGAGCCTGATACTCAGGTTACCTTCTATCTAACCTCACACACACCCTGAGACGAAGTGCTCGCAACGGCACTGAGTATACATCTTTTGAAAACAGGCGAGGGGTTATTGCATGCATGTATTTCTAGTATTTCTGTGATTTCCAAAGTGAAGTGTCACAAACCGAAATAAAGATATTTTTCCACGAACAATGACTGAACCCTTCAACTGAATGCGAAGTTCCGTTAAAATGCAATGAAATTTCTATCAAGGTTCTATTTGTTTGAAATTGGCAGTTTAAAATGGCAATAAAAATTAAAAACCCAATTTTAAATATAAAAACCTGTCTTGAAATATTTTGACGGGCGGTACATTTATATTGTATAACAAAATATAAAAAAATTTCACGCGGCTCTTAAAATACAGTCGGACGGTGATGAGAATCAAGGAATTTACTTTATGTGGCCTTATATAGCGTAACTCAGGTCGTTAGCATCTCGGAAAATATATAAATACTGCACACAACAGATACATGAAGGTCTCTAGCGACTGGTGAAATTATAGACTACAGTATCGCCTGGTCGGAAGTACTGTGTTTCCCACGTATTTAAACATTTAATAATAGATGTTCATTAGAATTGGAAAAAAGAAATCTATAAAAAATCTATCAAACTATCTTTTACCTTTTTCAAACTGCCATCGGCTGAAGCCAGTATGAAATTAATCCATAAAAAATAGCAAAATATTGACGACTACAAGAATATACCACTGAGCTATACTATATTACTGGAGGAAGTGCTCGGCAAAAAAAGTGTCCGCAAAAACATGGCGGATTTTCGCGCCATATGACGCCATTTCCATGACAACTGGTTCCTCCGGCTCATGAAATTACCACTGACCAGGCTCAATTCTGAGCCCGCTACAATTTTCACCCCCCCCTGGTTTTATCAAAAATATTTTTGCTTTTCGACGTTTTTGCAGTAAATTCTCGTTGTTTTTTATATTTTTTCGACTTTTGACCATTGGTTCAAAAATTTAAAAGTCGTACACACTATTCTCACCCGCGAAAGACAAAAAACCGATATGAAAACCCCGAAAAATTTAGGCAAAGATGATATTTGATGGCACAGCTATTCAGGTAAATGTTCACGTACTATTGATATGCTTTTTAATATTTTTAATTTTTGAAAGATAGTAGGAGTAAATGATAGAATATAATCCATTAGATAACAGGCTCTTTGTATAGTATAACGTATTATTTTCCGCCGTGTATTCAAAGTCTTGTCGTAGGCTACTGACAAATACAGAAACTTTGTTTTTATATTCAAAGTTTTTTTTTACTTTTATACTAGCTTTGTTAAATTGTTGGCTGGCCATGGTTTTTGTTAAACAAATTTTGTTTTATTTAATTCAGTTAAATCAGTTTTTTCCCTCAAATCAAAAGGGGTTTTCTATATAGATTGATGGCTGAAATCTGACATGCTTGATTTTATGCAATTGTATGTGCTATTAAAATATTAAAGTGTATATACAGGTGTAAAGGCATGAAACAATGTGCTTCTATCTATATTCTTTGTGTTTATATACACTAGAGTCTGTGTTTATTATAGTATGCATAATCTAGGGTGCCAGTAGAAGCTAGCCTAGGGGTACCAGAAGCTCAGGATACTGTGGGCAACTTAATATCTGGTAATATGATTTCTACCTAGATTTCTGACTGACATGTTGAATTGAGGATTCTTGAACCACTAGAAATAGGATTGTACTTCTTGAATGTTGGGTACCAATCACAAGTGTAGTCAAGTGTAGGTATAAGCAAAGAATCTAGATTATAGACTTTATAGGGTTGCACTGGATCTCATTATACAGGCCAGAACTGAGAAAGTCACACATGCTAGTCAGACATCAAGTCAGAAACAATTTAATTGGTAGATAATGTCACTTCCAGTCCATGCAGGTGGATTTATTTGGGGTTTTGTTCATTTCAGTCCTCTCTCTGTGCACCCCTGTATGATGCAACTACCTGAAACTAAGAAATCAATGAACTTCAACATTTCAGGTGAAAGACCTATAGTATTATTTTTCAGGTAGTTGCATGATACATTGAAGCCTTTAAATAGTGTGGTGGCTTAAGCTGCTTTTCTCATTCCCTTTCTTCACTTTCTTACTCTTTTGTCTCCAGTGAAAACTTTATTTTACAACATTTTAATTACATAATCTCTTTTTGGTCTAATTGCAGAATTATTTGATGGTGAGACAGTTCATAGTTCAACCTCTTTATTAAAGAATAATCAATTATCAATTATTAGAAATAATTAATTTTGTTAGCAGTGATAAAACTATCCAGACAAGTTATTATTATTATGACTTTGTAGCCAGATGGGTATGATTTTGCTTTGGCTGTTCAGTATTTTGATCCATTGTGATATGTCTTGTGGTACCTGTGAATGACTTTACCTGCAAAATAATAAATGAATGTAACATTACATTAAGATACATCCTTACACTGCAATATAATTATGTAAATATAGATGTTCAGTGTGAAGAATATGGTCTTTGACACTCTTTGTATATAATAAACATGCTATTGTGAAATGGAAATGATCAAATAAAGTTATTTCTGCAACAGCCCTTGCATTCAAACACCTTATTTGTATTTTTCTTGTTCATGCTTGAGCATCAGCCTCAGGATAAGCAAATTCCATTGGATTTGTGAGAGCACTTGAACTATATTGGGTCATTACATGAATTACAGAAAAGATT